TCTTCAATGGAATGACAGGGGCAGGCATGAAGGTAGTTGTACACACTAAACCCCCACTTGTGCACTTCATATTCGACCCATGCTGTCGCCCAAGACCGTGCAGCAACAGTGGGATCTGAGATCAACCGCTTCAGAGAGTCACCCTCATCCTGAGAGAGATCAGTTTCACTGTTTGTGTCTGAATCTGGTTTCACGTCAGCGAGCGTAACTAAGTTCTGGCGCTGTAGAATCCAATGAAGGACTTCAAAATGATCCAACCATCTATGCTGCACCAGAGATGGGCATGTTGTTTTGAACATAACAGCCATTGAATCTTTTGCTTCTGGTGGTACTCTTGGATTGTCACGAATATTGAATTTCACCCATCTGTCAACAGAATCTCTTCTACCGAAGAGCTTAGACAACCCCTTCAGTTGTTTGAAATACACGCCCCACTCATCATACGCATCCTCTGTTTCCTTCATGCAATGGTGCAAACCATGGTCGCAATCTGCAACTGGGAGGATATATGGAAAATATTTCTGACTGGGATCTTCAAAGTTCGGAATGGTCCAAAGTGACGATTCTGTTCCCATGTCTGTCATAAAACTCCGCAGCCGCTGCTGAGCAATGCCTGCCTCAGACTCTAGCCGGAGCATGCGCTCACATGCCTTGGTTTTGAAGGCAGCGCTCGACGCCTGCTTCCCCAAAATCTGGAGCGGGAGCAAGCGGGTCTCTATGGTAATGCAATCCAACCTGAAATTGGCAGAAGTTGCAAGCAACACCACACCACTTGACATACAATATTTGTTTTATACATATATATCTACACTAAGGTTACTTGAACGATCAATTGAATTGAATACTGGTTGACACCAATTTTGGGCCAGCAAAAAAATGACATGTAATGCCAAGCAGCCAGTCATCTATCTTCGGTGATTGGTTCAGTTTTACTTGGTCGAGCTCTGCTAGCAAATAACTCTTTGCAAATTGTGGACTGCTATCCATTCGTAGGTGGCCGAACCAAACAGTGCCTTGAATGTAGATGTGCTCCCTTGAATACAACATGGTGCACCAATCAACGTTGACTTTGAAAGTCTGCAAGATGGACCGTTTCGGAAGCCTCCAGTTCTGCTCAAGGATGTGGTCCCGCAACTCAGGCTGCAAAATGATTCCCAGTCCCCTTAGCAGTGAGAGCCAGTGAGAAAGCAGAGTGATAGGCAGTGAAAAAGTTTGTCAGTATGTAAGTAGCACAGGTCATGTTCAGTTATAAAGTGTTCTTGTCCTGGCAAAGGTTCCTTCTGAGCGTTTCATCGACTGTGTCTCTATCGTGCTTCGCAGGTTTGAGACAGTCAGTGAAAAGCACAAAGTCCAATACATAGTCCGGACGATACTGAAAGCCGCCGCGATCTCTGGAGACATGACCCTCATTCACTTTCAAGCACTTGATGATCTCATAGGTTGCTAGCTTCGCACTCTCACAATCATTGGAGTCCAGTGAGTTCAAAATGTTGCCTAGCATTTGTTTCAACACTTGTTGGCTGTCCTCGGCCCCAGCCTCGGCTGCATCACTTGCTTTAGCTTGGTGGGCTATTTGCACCGAATCTGGGAGGGCTTTGCCAATGAATACGCGTACCTTCAACCAATTGCTTTTGACTAGGACTAGTACATGTCATGACATGCCTCTGTTGACTTCACGATTCAATCACAAAAAGGCTCACCTCTTCCACATCTACAGCAGGAACGTTGTGCTGTGCAGAAATGTCAGTCCACTGTAGTCCTCCAGCTACTGTCACTGAACACGATGCCTGAGAAAAGTTACGTTCACAAAACACGTGTGATTTATGAAAGTGCTCCACAACCAACCAATACATCAAAAAACATTAAAGATTATAATATATTATAGACATGCGACGATCAAGCGCCGAATCTCTACCCCGTCTGCAAATGGGAGCTTGGCAAAATTCCGTCTGCCGCGACTTGGAACAGTTGTCGCGATTGGAATATCCAAGCAAAGGCTCAGCAGCACGGTTGTGATAATCCCTTTGGTTAGGTTTACCTTTGCATACACCAGCTTGGAGTAACACCTTGCTCAGGAAAGCATCCAAAATCATCCAAAGCTCAAGCGTATTTAAACACACTTTGAAGACCCAAAGAAGTACAACAAAAAGCATTTGCTCAATCCATAGGCTTTGCACCCATCCACACGTTCCAAGCACCATGCAAGCACATCCTCGTTCACTGGAGGTTTCTGCAAGACACCAGCCCGCGGCACAATCTCCATGTTCAATGTCGCTTTGATTTACAGTGTCAAACGGTTTTTTTTTGTGATCTTCCACCAACTTCAAACTATATAATTTGCATCTATATAGTTCGAAGTTCGAAGCTAGGGTTCGAAGCCAAGGTTCAACTAGTGACTAGGGTGAATCTGCTGGGAGCACCTGGAACTTCAAACCATATGGACCTCTATGTTTGCGCCTGAATGGGCTACGTCGGAGTGGGCATTGGACAAAACTTCATTGCGGTCTTGATTCTGGAAACTGTGTTGTAAAAGTACAACTCAGTTGCGTGTTGCCCATTTGAGCGTCTTCCTTGCATTTTCTGACACAAAAAGGAAAAACAAAAACACCCTCTGGCATAAATGTCGCTTTTGTGGAAATCAGCTCGTTGGCATTAGTACTACAAACACACAATCACAAAGACACAACCGCAACCACAACCACAACTACAAACACACAATCACAACCACTACCACTACCACAAACACACAACCACAGACACAACCACAAACACATAACCACAAACACACAACCACAAACACAACCACAACCACAACACAGCACACAACCACAGCACACAACCCGAGGACCCACAAGCAACATCGAGAACTACAATACTAACGACTATGGCAACATGCTCCTCACTATGGCATCAAGACAAATGATTGAAATGTCACGGTTGGGATCACTCGAAGTAAAGTAATTTTTTGTTGTTCGCAGGTTTGTTTGTATTTCCCCACCTGCCAGGTGAGGGTTGTTAGATTTTATCACAGTTGTTCTTCCTCCGCCTCCACCGCCTCCTCCTCGTCCTCCTCCTTCCTCCTTCCTCCTTGCTTCCTTCCTCGCCAATCTGCTTCGCCGATCTTGTCTGGCCAGCTCCGGATCGCAGTGTGCACCCCTGGACCTCAACCGCAAGGATCCCCTCGCAGTGTGCACCCCTGGACCTCAACCGCAAGGATCCGATCGCAGTGTGCATCCCTGGACCTCAACCGCAAGGATCCGATCGCAGTGTGCACGCCTGGACCTCGACCGCAAGGATCCGATCGCAGTGTGCACCGCTGGACCTCAACCGCAAGGATCCGATCGCAGTGTGCACTGCGGGACCTCAACCGCAAGGATCCGATCGCAGTGTGCACCGCTGGACCTCATCCGCAAGGATCCGATCGCAGTGTGCACCGCTGGACCTCAACCAGATAGTTTGCCAGATAAAATCCACAAACACACAATCACAAACACACGACCACAAACGCGCAACCACAAACACAATCACAAACCCACAATCACAAACACAATCACAAACACAACTACAAAGACACAATCACAAACACATAACCACAAACACAAAACCACAAACACACAACCACAACCACACAACCACAAACACCCAATCACAAACACAATCACAAATACAATCACAAACACGCAACTACAAACACAATCACAAACACACAATCACAAACACAATATAACACAATCACAAACACAACGACAAACACACAACTACAAACACAACTACAAAGACACAATCACAAACACACACCCACAAACATACACACAACACACAACCACAAACACAAACACACAACCACAAACATACAACTACAAACACACAACCACAAACACACAACCACAAACACACAAACACACAACCACAAACACACAACCACAACCACAAACACATCCACAAACACAACCACAAACACACAACCACAAGTACAAACACACAATCACAAAGACACAACCACAACCACAACCACAACTACAAACACATAATCACAAAGACACAACCACAAGCACAACTACAAACACATAATCACAACCACTACCACTACCACAAACACAACCACAAACACATCCACAGACACACAACCGCAAACGCAACTACAAACACACAATCACAAAGACACAACCACAACCACAACTACAAACACACAATCACAAAGACACAACCGCAACCACAACCACAACTACAAACACACAATCACAACCACTACCACAACCACAAACACACAACCACAGACACAACCACAAACACACAACCACAAACACAACCACAACCACAACACAGCACACAACCACAGCACACAACCCGAGGACCCACAAGCAACATCGAGAACTACAATACTAACGACTATGGCAACATGCTCCTCACTATGGCATCAAGACAAATGATTGAAATGTCATGGTGGGGATCACTCGAAGTAAAGTATTTTTTTATTGTTGTTTTGCTTGCCTTTTGTTGTTTCGTTTTGTTCCCTGCTTTTTGTTATTGTTGTTTTATTGCTTTTGGCTGTTAATTCTATTTTTGGATTTGCTTATGTTGTTATTGTGTTTTTTCATGTGTTTTTGTTTTGTTGCTTTTTTCAATTGCTTTGTTTTTGATTCTTGGACTTGCTTTTTTGGTTTTGCATTTTGTAGTTGCTTTTGTGTGCTTTTATAGTTAATTGAATATTTGCCAAACCATCAGAGTTATGCTACGAGGTTAACATAAGTCTATTTCTTTAATTATGTTACTATTTCTTACTTTTCTCCCACACACGCAAGAAAACAAAGCAGCAATCACCACCAGCACCAGCACCAGCACCGCCACCACCAACACCGCAGCAAGATAACATCAACAAGCACAGCCACCACCGCCAGAGTGGACTAATCTTCAGCCCACCAAAACCGTACTGACTGTATCTCGCGAGCAAGGTGCTAGCCCGCCTTTTGGGGGGCCAAACTCAGTCAGTGCCAAGGCTCGAAAATCACGATCACGGTCCAAACCAGTGTGCGGAGCGAACTCGTGAGACCCTTCAGAAGGAGCCAAACTTCCTGAGACAAGCAAGGCGGGAAAGGAAGGCATGGATTGAGAATGATCGAGAAGGAACCCGACCGTGTTTCAAGGCCCCCAAGTTTTTCTCTTCTAGCGGCTGGCGAGAAGCCAGCTAGCAGCAGCCGCAGCGTTTTTGAAACAAACGCACCCAAAACCGCGGCGTGTGATCCCAAATGAGCCCAGGATGGCAAGGAACATAACAGTCAGCCGGCCTAGCATTTCTGAAATCTTGTAGCATCTGCATGTCAAGAGACGCTTTGTGACCTCACGGCACTCTGGCCAGCCATTGGGTGCAGTGGCTCATACATTTCACATTATTTCGCTGTCTTCCCAGTGCTGTTGATCTGGGCGCCAAATCAGGGATCACAAGGGTTTCATTATGTTTCATCTCGGAGGTCTTGAAAGAAAACCGTTCCATGGGCAATTGTCCACGTCCATTTGGATCCAGCGCGCCGGTATCTGTTTTGCTGTGACCCTCTACTACGCTGTGCCAAATTTACCCCCAAAAAAGGTAAAAGAATGAAGCAATTAACTTCCGCATATCATTCTCGGCCTTACTACTAGGAGCAAGGACGCTACTAGGGGCTCCTGGCCTTACTATTAGGAACAAGAAGCTACTAGGAACAAAGGGCGTCGCTACTTGCTAGGAGCAATCTCATCCTCATCATTCCTCCCACCCTTGGTACTCCCCTTCCGTGTCACACCCGGATTGAACGGAAACGCAGTCGGAGCGCCCGGAACATGGGCATCCGCTGGATCACTCGGACGATGCGCAGCAGTCGCAAGGCTCGGAAGACCGACAACGTGCTCAAGAAGTCTGGGCACGGTCGCGCGTCGAACAGGCACTGTCACTTGGAGGAGGACGGGTGTTATAGGAGGTTGAAACAGGCAATAGGAGGTGTTATAGGTGACCTTTTGACATGATTCTTTTCAGTGCCTTGGGTCCCGGTATTGGGATGACTTGGATATGAACTACATTGAAATACCCATTGCCCTCACAGAGTTGTCTTCAGGTTTGGGGCTGATGGCTTGGAGCGCCGTTCTGCAGGTTGGAATCAACGGACCAAGGCTGATCAACGAAGCAAACTATCTATATAATCCTGCACCCACCCAAAGACTGGACACTCTGTCCTAGAAACCAATGGCTGTGCAACCGGATGTCTATTCTATGTGTATACATGCCGAGACTAGTCCGAAGCCTTGAATTCTTCAATGCTTTCTGCCACCTTGACTGCCCTGACAAATCATACCCTGCCTGCGTTCATTTCCGTCTGGGTGATCAGAGCGAACAAAGGGATGATCCAGCCTCACATGACCGGGCGATGAATCGGATGTCGACATCGGCGGACTAAACTAGACAACTTGTAAAATTTGAGTGCAACTCATGCGTCTTGTGTCGGGGCACTGTGACACCGGTTTGGGAGGCATTTTTGAAGAAACACCTGGGAACAAATGTTGATAATGTTGGATTGGTCACAGCATTCATTCCGCTCGTTCTCGTGTGTTGCTGCAGTGAAAGTGCTCATTGCCCTCAAGGGAGCCAACTGACCCAAGAACGACCCAAAGAATACTGGTCAAGGAACGAGAACATATGAGAACCCAAAGTCGCTTTGGGTGGCTAGGTGAAAGTTGCATACACAAGTTGGAAAATAATTAGAGAGAAATATGCCGATATACATCATTATGCATACATATATATATATATAGTTTCTTCAGATCTCCTGTCCAGGCATGAACACTCCTACACCCAGCAGACTCCCAAAGAATCATACCACAACCATCCCCTGTGTTCCAAAACCGACCGCCCCATGACTTCAAGGTCTCCATTGGGCACTGCTTGGGTCGAGGTGTTCAATTGTTTATGAGATGAGAGCGACTGGCAAGAAGCCGCCACAAGTCCTGCAGTCCTGCCTCCAGGATTGTTTTTACATGTTTTTACTGTCTTCTACAGTTCGTGAGTCCCAGCAGGTATGTCTCCGCACCGAACCCGGCGCTATCGCTCCAGCCAAGGCACCGGAGACGACCCCAGAAAGGAGCACGATGATCGCCTCGACGGGCAACGTCGAATCGAAGCGTTTCAAGAACTGAGACGCAAGGCCGCCTCAAGGGGAAGTCTGAGCATAGATGCAAACAGCAGCTCCTAAACTGGAATCCGTCTTAGTTTTCGAAGGATTCTATTTTTCTCCTCTAGTCCTTTGAACATCGCCCAGTACAGCGCATACTTCTGGCCCACCCGGTATTCGGGTCGTTTCTGTCCAAGACACGTCGACGAAATTGAACCAACCTCAACCGAGGCAGCCGGGCGAAGACGAGGAGTTACGTTCCGACAACATTGCACGCTTGAATATAGTAGCACCCCTTTCGTCTGTTTGGTTCGTGTCTGTGTGAAAGCAGCCAAGCAAAAAGGCTAAAGCACTTGCAACTTCCACCATTGAACTTACCCGAAAGGTCTTGAAGCTAGGACCGCACCGAGAAATTCGGAACGCAAGAAATGCGGAACGTGAGCTGCTGGAAAAAGAACAAGAAGCTCCATGCTTTAAGAAACCGATCCAGAAGTATCAATGTCCCGCCCCAAACAAACAACAAAACTAACATCATCTAACATCGGCGTGTTTTCCCTGAAGATGGCTGTGTTTTCGGGCCATTTGACTGTATCTTCAACTCATGCCCATATCATTTGATGCATGCCAAAGAGCCTTCTGCAGTCCTGCAAATTGATCGATCTGAGGTGATTGGCAGGGTGACACCTTCTAAACCGCACGAAACCCAAAACATAAGATGCCTGCAAAATATAGAAGCGGACAAAGTCAGCAAACCGTCACCAACAGGTGTTGCGACCCCCACAGGCTAGGAGTCAGAATGCAGCCTGGAATGTTCATGAAAGCAATCGGTCACACTGAAGTTCAAGTGTTGGGGTGTGATGTAATACAGCTCCAAACGTTTCTTCAAAGTCTTGTAGGCCTCTGGATCTCTGGGCAATGGCTAAAACATGGGTTAAAAATCAAAGAATTAGAAGTGGTGTCTAGTCTAGATGCCAATCCTTCAGGAATCAGGATGATGTTCAGGCTTTTGGGGTCCTGATAAGAGAAACACCGTGATAGCATTACAACGTGCCAATAGAAACTAGTGATGTCAACAAATATACAGTGCTTTCAGAGTAGATGGCACAACCCCCCCAAAGGTGGTTGATATGGATCTCAAGGACATCCTGGTGTGCCAGTGCCATCTACTCTCTTAACCCGGCTGGGTCTTGCAACTTTCGGCCTTGCGTTCTTTTCAGGCCATGTGGTGCCCTTTCAGGGAGTGGGGCGTTCGCCAATTGACCCTACATGGTGGCCTCAAAGAGTCACCCACAAGTCACCGGCAAGTCACCCGCGCGCACGAGTTGGCGCCACTCCTGATATCAAAGTAGTTGCTGATCCCAAAGACTCTTAGCCGCACAGTGATCTCGATGGTGAAGAGAGACTGAGGTCGCTCATGGTGTGAAGCACCAATGATGCAAACAAAGAATAAACTACGGCGACGGAATAGTTAGGACAAGAATGCACGACGTAATCAATACCTGGTGTTTCCGATATTTCCAATTGTGGAAGCCATACAAGGTCTGCACATTAACATTAGATCCCAGACTTCCCTCTCCACGAAATGACTTTCAGTGGGCTGTTACACAAAAGGATACGTGTCGCGTGAAATGCCAACTAAGGCAGGAGCCACAAGAATGTGCTCTGCAACCTGAACAATTTCTACCACTTGCGGGCTGTAGTCCTGAGGCCATGGGCGTTGAGGGCTCACTCACCGTCATCAGGAGTGTCAGCAAACCATGTCTATGCTATGCTTGAATCATCGCTCTGACTATGTGCGGTCTCTTGTTCACTGTCTGCGTTGCTTCGCGCATCTTCCCAGGATCTTCTGCCATTCAGCTGTGGGCACAATGTGCCTTCTACCCGACTACTACCGAGGCACGGTACAAACTTAAAGCATCTTAAACAGATCTAAATCGTCTCAAATACACATATTCTCAGGCAGCCAGGTCTGGTCAAGAAGGGAAGCCCATGGGAAGCAGCCCTAAGATGCCCTATGTATATCTATCTAAGTGATTATAAGTGTCAATATCTTAAACGTCTACAATTACATTTACATTCAACAAGTCATGTTTCAAGCAGCAGATTTGACGGTGCCTTCCTGTGACTGAAAGCGTATATGGCACAAAGCCCAAATGGAGTTGAGATAGGGAATCGTGTCAACCACCCAAGTAGCCCCGCATCAGCTGCCGTTCCGATTGCTACTCGGAATGCTCCCCTTCAAAATCCTTTCAGGGATATCTCCCTCCTCCTCCACAGCAAACAACGCGCATCATCGCGCATCATGTAGACATATCAGCCGAATTTGAACGGGGTTGCCAAGGAGCTACTGACTCCACACTACTGGTGGGATCTTGTAGGGCTTCGATCCACCACTTGTCCGTCCACCAAGGCCCGCGCGTTCACCAACACATCACCCTGAACTCGAACCTGCAAGGAGCGGCAGGCGTCTCAGTAGCTCTCGGGCACAAGCACTTCACTGTGGAAGAATTTTTTCTTAGGCCTACAGTGCCACCCCATGAGCTATATATACACTATAAGGTTGCATTTCCAGTGATCTAGAGCCCGTCACTCCACCAAGTATGCATGACATGTAGTGTGCGCAAGCATGGGTTTGCAGCACAAGTAGATCTATGTTTGCATTCACCTGTAGAACGTCTTAGAAACACAAGCATATACTGCACGCGCGGCATGTATACCTTCAGGCAGAACTAGTTGTCAAGCCCCCACACACACACACATTCTCGACTCTTGTGCTTTTTGAATGAATCTAAGAACCAAATGAACAGTGCCAACGTTTTTTGCAGGAAGCGTGAGCTATCCTGCGTCCTAGTTTGTTTGGCCCTTCCTTAATCAAGTAGGCGCCTACTCAACTATGGGGTGGGCTGCAAAAACCACACACAAACTATCCATTTACAGATCCGCTTGCATGGGTTTGGACTGTCGTCCAGTAGCGCTTCGGTTTCGGTTTCGCCGTCCTGCATCGGTGTTGCAGGTTTGTTGGATGCCCGATGTCCCGGACAGATTTGACTGCATCTGTCTTACATACAAATAATCTTAATGTATTTACACAACATGAAAACGGCGGGCAAATTGAACTATTATGTATGTGTATATTCAGGTGGTCTACGAGCAGCAGGAGAGGCTCTAGAATGCTATAGGAACAATATATTAGTATAATGTAGTATAAACTAGTTGACCTTGATCGCGGTCTTTTGATCATTAAAATCAACTGCTGCCTATTGATTGAGGGCAAATCTCCAAGGCAATGCGCAAAAATGGGCAGTATATATAATATATATATATGCCAGCAATAGACTGGCGGTATATATGCCTGGTAGGACGGATCCTTCTTGCTCAAGGGAAAATAGAAGAATGAGCAAGGTAGAGTTGGCAGAGTCTATGATCGACTCATGTTTGCTTCAGGAAAAAAACACTAGACTAGCCTCGACATGCAGAAACCAGCACCACTTCTTTCAACAAGGCCGTGCGTCCCGCTGAGGCCCGGGCGTTCACTAGCATATCCGCCTGTAGCCCCATCCTGGGTGGCAAACGAATGCACAATTCCGAGAAGACACTGGATATGGATGGATATGGCATGATGTGACCCAAAAGCAGCGAGTATATGAATCATTATGAATCAATGGGTCAACACGCAGTTTTGGGTCATACTCAAGTAGTAATTATGCGTGGATCATGCGGCTACGAGATGTCAGGAGTCCCGGGTTGGATTCATGGGCCAAGCTGAGCCAAGGTGGGAAGTGCCCAACCACCCTGGCGCCATTGCTGCTGAGCACAGTGGTTTATGCAAATGATCTTCATAAGCATAGCCGTGGGCTCCAAACCACGGGTTGCAACAAACATCCACTACAAGATACTACAAGTAGCATCATGAACAAAAACCAACAACGGCGCCCTTTTGAGCCCAAATCCCAAACCCGCTGGTCCAATGTTGTGAGAAGCTGCGTTACGTCTTGACTGCCAGGGCACGTGACGCAGTTCAAGATGATCAAGACACTATAGAAGGTGTCGAAGAACTGCCGGCAACGCACGTTGAAGACTGGGTCACGTTGAAACGTTCAAGTTCAAGACTTGGTGACCTGCAAAAGTACAAACATATATCAAAACGTAAGGGATTCTCAAAGCTGCCCCACGGGCACCCACAGCTTTTGGCCTTGCTGGTGACAATCTTGGACAGGCGGGTCTGCTTGACAAACCTGGTGGCTCTGGCAAGTACAAAGAACTCAGAAAAAGGGACCGGCAGCAAAACTCTTGGCAAGAGTCCCTAACAGGGGCTCTGTTTTGGCCCGTCAACATGGGCAGAAAAGTCTTAGCCCTGATCACAAGAGAATGCAGTGAGAGCAAAGAAGCCTCAAAGCAAAGGCTCGGAAGCAGAATGTGATAGCCCCCACTCCGGTACTCCAATCTTAATATGCTATAACTGCTACAACAATTTCCAGTCCTGTTACGCACCGTGGATTTAACACCCGCTATCCACAATATCCCGCAAAATACCTTGCGTCAAACAGGAGAAGTATTTCGTTTTGTGGTCACATACCTATTGTTTACACCTATCATATCTTCCACCATGTCATTGCTATATTCTAGCTCCTAGCTCCCAGCTCTAATTGTGCGGATTCCACCTTCCCAGGAGGGCATGGCAACACATTCGAACACACTTTGACCGAATCAACAAGGGGTTTGCGAAGGATGTGCCCGGCGTTGTGTGACAAATGCTTTCAAGGTGAGGGCCACAGCAGTTTTCTTCGAACTCCCCAAGTTTCCTTGGAAAGTAAAGGATGTAAAGGTTAACCTGTTTCCACCTGTTCTACCATCCTTGCCTCGTACTCAGGCCGCGTTGCGCTGTTGGCACTCAGGTCACAGCGAAAACACTGGAAAGATTACAGGACCACGAAGCGAACTAGGTACCACACACAGCGAGATCAAAGGCCAAAGTTGATGTATAGTAGGAAAAACAATCCCAAAAAGGTTTAATGTTATCCACTGACTGGTTAGGGAAAAGGTCTGCAGTGAATGTATGCCATGGCCATCTTGACCAGGTTTCACCCGACCAATCCGCCAGGAATCCCTGCTTGCCGGTCCTCCTCGAAAATTCCTGAGCTTCACAAGGGCCCCCGAAAATTCTTTAGAGCGGTTTGATTACCCCAGAAACGATAAACGATCAACTAGCAACCACTTCTTTTTACAACTGGACACCCGCCAAATGAACATATTATATTGCAAAAGTATCTCCCAACTCCGCAAATGCAAGTATAGGCCGAGATTATTCGGAATCGAACCTTCCACTAAACAAACCCATTGTATCACAAAACTATACGCTTGTGTCCCAAGTCACATAATAATACGGTGGACTTTTGAGCCATGCTCATCCCCTGTTCACAATTGTTCACAATAATGACAATAATTGCCAAAACACAACGACTTACTTTTTACTTGTGGATCATCAAGACACCAGCACAAAAGTACGCAAATTGACTACTTCACTAAGCCTCACAAATCTACAGGATTCGACAGGTTTGGGCTAAGGTATGCAAGAATTGTTCTGCCGCACAGGTTGAAGCGGGGTTCAGATTGGTTAGATCAATGCAGGAAATCCTTGACCGACAGACCGGCTGACCATGCTTCATTGTTGTTTGTTTTGTAGTGTGATTGTTGATTTGCTCTTTTAAAATGTGTGTTTGCTACATCCAACAGTAAACAACTAGACGACGAGTGGCCCGAAAGCATTTTTCATCACGTAGGAAGTCAGAGTGCGAGTTATCCGGTAAGTGTGCAGTGAGAAGTGTGAAGTCGAGTGAGTTGAGGTAGTGTGTGGGTTTCTGTGCGTGTGTCTATGTCCGTGTGGAAATGAGTCTGCGTATGTGTGTGTTCGTGTAAGTTGAGGGAGTGTGTGGGTGTCTGTGTGTGATGCGGCCTCCCAAACCCCCCACCGGCGGCCAAGCGGGTGACAGCCCAGCTCATCGTCGTGAGCATTTGGGCTGCTGGTAAGGGGAGAAGCAGCGTGCACGGCGCCAGGAAAAGCTCACGGAAAAAAACGAACCGGAATGAGGACACAAAAGTGCCGAGGCAGGTGCGCCAGAAGTGTCTCGAAGCAGTGACCTGTCAGAGGAGATGAACGAAGTAGCACGCAGGCCTCCCAAACCCCCACCGGCGGCCAAGCGGTGACAGCCCAG